TAGATAGATAGATAGATAGATAGATAGATAGATAGATAGATAGATAGATAGATAGACAGAACTTTTGAGGCAGTGGTCAGTGTTGTCTCGTGGTGACTGTCTGGACTAATCCTTGCAGTCTTCTGGGCAAGAAGTGGTTGGCCCTTGCCTTCATCCTAGGGCTAAGAGAGAGGGACTGGTCCAAGATCACCCAACTGGCTTCATGCCTAAAGCAGGACTAGAACTCATGGATGCTTTAACCACTACACCAGACTGGCTTTTGTGTGTATGTATGTCTGTATGATGTATGTGTATATATCTCTATATATGATTTATTGCCTTGGTATACCCAACATTTGAAGAAACGTTAGCATTTACAATGCTTGGGCATAATTTGGGGAGCTATTTCATGAAAATGTCTCTTCAGATGCTTCTTTGCTGGAATCTGAATTGCAACAACCCCAACTCCCTCCAAGACTTTCTAATGGTGCCATGTCACACTTCAAATAATTCTGCCAACAAGCCTGTACAGGGCCATCCCTGATTCTTCCTTTTCATGCCATTCTCTCCCAAATGTGTTTCGATGCTTCTCCCTAAGAGGTCTTTCTGATGTTATGGTTCCAGATGAAAACTGCAAGGATAAATACTACAACTGCAATGTTGTGGTTCAAGCCCGCCTCTGCGTCTACACCTATTACAAGACAGCCTGCTGCGCATCCTGTTTGAGAGTGGCGAATCGGCAGTTGGGGTTTTTGGGGAGAAGATAACAGCTGCTCCATTCTGGGCTTCAGACCTGTGCCTCACCTCTTGCAAGCTGCTTTCACAACAATTCTACCTTTACAAGAATGTTTTTTTTCCCCCATAACAGTGGGCACCTCCAAGGGGGTGGTGGAAGCACCTCTGGGTGATATTGCTAACACACACTGTAGTAGAAACTTTGGGGAAACCGATGCTATAATGCTGGACCTTCAAAGCTTTAGCCATGAGAATACACATTGACTGATTGATTGGTTTATTGATTATGCGCCATCAAGTCACTGTTGACTCTTAGCAACTACACAGATATTCTCCATGACATTCTGTCCTTAACCTGGTCTTTCAGCTCTTCAGTACACATTGAAGGTCGTGCCAGTAATCCAGACATAGGAATAGGCATACAATAAAAACCAAGGGGCCCATTTAGAAGTCTAAGAGGCTGTTGTGGGCCCCCTCACAAAACGGTTGCAAGTGTGAGCAGGACCAGTTGCCCCTCACTCAGTTATTAGCAAGCAACAGGGAACTCACTCTCCAGGACCCCCTTTTGCCCCTCCCTTCAATTCACCTTTTTTTTCTTCTGGACAATGGATACACATCCAAAGTAAATACTGAGGCCTTTAAATCTTTTTAAGAGAAGGTCTTCATGAGACTGTGAAGCATTCTTTCTTAAAAATATGGCATAAGGGACAGGTACTTTATTTTTTTAACGAAAAGGAACTTTAATAAAGAGGTTAGGCAAGCAAGGCGTTGGTGCTCCAGGGCACCATGTTGCTTCTCCCTGATCTAACGTCCTGCTCAGAACCAGCTCAAACTCTAAAGCAAAGGTGCCACCAAATTCTCAATGGAAGCACGTAGAAAACCACAAAACCAATTTCACTAAGTCGGAAGTTCTCCTTTAGGGCAGAGAGGGTGAAGCCTTAGCAAACAGAGTGGGGATCCTGACAGAGATGGAGGCCCTTGCTGGGTCAAAGCATCACCTGCCAGGTTCAGCTTCTCTCATCCAAAATCCGCTACAGCCCTCTACTTTCTTTTCACATTACTTCCTACTGAACTCTTGGGTAGTAGGGAGCAAACTTTAACAATGCCAGGGGCTGAACTGGGAAATTTGTGGATACAGCGTGTGAGTCCTGCTCCTTTCTCCCACCACTGATGAACTGGCCTTCATGCCTCCTTTGTCAAGGGCAATCTGTATTTTTTTTCATATGTTTTAGAACAGTGTTTTTCAACCTGGGCATCTTTAAGATGTGTAGACTTGAACTCCCAGAATTCCCCAGCCAGCATGCTGGCTGGGGAATT